AATCATATGGTCAAATTTTGGGAATATGAAAAAATTGAAATGCCTCCCAAAAAATGACATGACAATGATGGTTCAAGAGAAAACCATAGGCAAACAGTAGAAAAAACAAAATAATTAATGAACAAAACTTTCAACCTCATAAAAAATTGGTGGCCAACCCGTACAGCACAGCTGGAACACCATACCCTCTTCCTCTTGTAACCTGCTCAAATCCCTCTATCATGAGAACCCCATTCTCCTATTTTTTTAACTTTATCCCTTTAAACTGAATGAATCAAATTGCCACACAAACAAATACAGCCTTTTCAGCAGTAAATTCTAAGCATAAAAAGGTAAAAATCAAGCATTTTTAACTACTTAGAATCGAGAAAACTTTAGTTAGCCTATATTTTATGTTCCAAATTAATCATATTTGCTACCAGTCAAGACAATCCAATCAGAATCGATACATTTGTATGAAAATTATATGTGTGAAGTTGTACACAAAATTCTTGAATCGGCTTTCGTGTACGAAAACCCCTATTTATAGGCGAATTTGAGATAATTATTAATGAAGAAACCCATACCTTATTTGCAACTGGTAGATCCATCGCCTTATTGCTTTTCTTCTTCTTGAATTTGTTAATCTTCTTTGGCTTCTTCAACTTGCTTAAGAAAATCTCTTTGTTATTCTTTTTCTTCTCATTCCTCTTTCCTTTGAGACCCCATTTAATTTCCTTGGAATCGAGAAAGTCTTCTTCGTCCTCCTCCTCGCTACTAACTATATCCACAGGCGGCGCCACCGCGAAAAGCTCCTTTATAGACCTTTTCTTTGGAGCCCTTGGTTTCACCTTCCCCCTTGAAGGCTTCAACTTTGCTGCTACTCCTATGAATTCTTCAGCATCTAAATCTGATTCTTCCATATTCTCTTGACGTCTAAGCGATGATTCTCCGTTTTCTTGAACTTTCTTCTTCTTTTTCGAGTTTTGGAGGCTTGTAATCGATTCTGAACGCGACAATTCGAGTACATCGAACCACCAGGTAAATTTCTTGAGAGTGATCGGAGGGAGCAACGATTTTACAACATCTTCATCAGTCTCGTCGAAAGGCCAGCATTTTACCACGTTAACACTTCTCATCCTCGACACATATCCTCTACATAACATCAAAACCAACCCTTTTGAACAAACCCAACAAAAATCAAAGCATAGTAAACATATCAATTAACAAAAATTAACAACTCACCGCATCGAAAAGCCCTCTAATTCCGTATCCATCACTTTCTAGTTTCTTCGCCTAAATATATATAGATATAGACTGAGCAAAACTATACACAAATATGCAACTCATTTCTTGACAGAAAGAAAAACACATACACACAACATAAAGAGCGCAACTGCATAAAACAAAGATCTTGAAGAATCAAGACAAGAAAACCCACAAAAAATAGAGAAGAAAAACGAATATGGGGAACCAGGAAATGAGTTTCTTTGAGGTTTTTTCTAGAGAGATGAAGGAAAAAGTTTTAAGTGGGAGAGAGAGAGAGTTTGTGTGATGGCATTTCTTTATGCGTATTTTCCCGCTCGAAAGGTGTGGTGTCAATGAATCAATCCCATTCTCAGCTCTGTATATTTAAGTCTTGAAAGCGACATATGAGACCCCAAGATAAAAGTAATGAATGAGAATATTTCTACACTTCTTTTAGTATTACAATACATGTACTTATTACAACCAAATATATGTATAGAATAACAAAAATGCAACTATGCAAGTGTACAACATTAATCGCGGGCCCATCCATGTAATGTGAGAAGACCGTCAAAAAAAAGTGTAAGACTTATTTTAAGAAATCCTTTAAATACAAAATACTCTCTATTTTAGAGAATCAGTACTTAAAAATGAGCTCCAAAATACTCTCTAATTTAATTTTTTAAAATAGAGAGTATGTGTGGCTTTCTAAATTAAATTCACTATCTATTCTTAATGTACAATGATTATATTTAATACATTATAAATTTCAATACTCAACAATTTAATATTTTCAAATTACAATTGAATTGATTGGTCATTAATATATAAAAAATTATACTTAAATAAAATATGTTGAGAAATTATTAAATATTCATTGAAAAAAAAAAAGAATTAAAGTAGAGAGTTTGTTGAAGTATATAAAAAAATACTCTGTAAATTTAAAAATACTCTTTATTATGCATAAGATGCTATTTTTAAATAGAGAGCCTCTTGAATATGCTCTAAAGAACTTATATTGTACACCTAACATGCTTCATAGAATAAAGATTTTTAACATTATTGATATTTAACATCAATCTAAATAATCATGTTAGTGATATTAAATTATAGATTCAATTAAATACAAAGAATTATTATCTATTTAATACGATCTACAACATGCCGACACCATATTCAACGTCAATAGTGCTAAATAGAATTATTTATATGTATACATGTGTGTATATGTTTATACAAAAAGTCTCGTGTGCACAAAGTTAGGATTCAATCACACAGATTCTGTGTTTGATAGTGAATGCCAACGCGTGGTGTGTGGGAGCTTTAACATATGCATACATTTTAGAATAATTTGGAGAGTAATCAAAATAAATCATCTCTATCATTTATCTTAATTGTCCAAGTTGTTCTTAGGGCTCTTAGTCGATCATTCTTTACGAGAATGATCATTTCGTTCAATTTCATCCAATTTCTTGTTGAATAAGGAAAGTAATCTTACCTCAAATTCTAAATAGATGAGAGAAAACAAATCAAAAATAGCAAAAAATATAAATAATAGAGTCTCTTTCCCATATCCCACCCCTGCTCAACTCCCTTCACCACCACCACCACCACCACCACCGTCGCCATCACCATCATCCCCACAATCACGAACATATAGAGGGCTGCACAAATTATTCTTCCTTCTAAAATCCTCTTTATAATTGATTTCAATTAAACTATAAATGAGCTACTGTCAATCTATTAGCTACCTCTAATCCGACAATTCTTACGACACTTCTAAAATCTTTTTTGTGATTGATTTGAAACAAAATATTAAAATGTATGATCATCTTTAAGCATAAACAACCAAATTGAAGCACGACTGAAGCTCGAGCATCCTTTCAATTTTTTTACCTATAAAATTGAATATTTTGTTTCTACATCAAATTAAAATACTATGCAATGGAATAAAGTCATATATCTACTCCCTTAACTTGATGTAGAACCAAGCAAACGAAAAGATTTCAAATTTCAATGCTATCTATTTTTTACACTATGCAAGCGTAGATCACTTGATTAAAATATAAATTCAGTACATATGTGTGACCATGGATCGTGTTAAAGATAAATTACTTGCAATTATATATGGTTCATCTCTAATAATGTAAACATTTAAATTAATTGGTCAAAATGATTTTTTTTTTAAAGAAATAATATAAAATGAAAAAGGGTTAAAAGGTGGGTACAGTTCATGTGCCAAAGCATTTTCCCACACCCCAAAATGATAGAAGTAACATTATGTGGGAAGGAGGGTGAATTCAAGAATCTGACCACTGTTTTTATATCTATTTGTGGAGGCACAACTTTAATATCAATGTACAATTATATCTTTGTACACGTAAAGTTAGTTGGCTGTGAAGTAGACGTTTATTAATTATTAAAAATTAAATAAATGGAGAAGCTTATTCCTTTGTCTAATCATATCTATATAATGTGCTCTCGGGACATAGCTCAGTGGTACAAACTGCAAAGGATAAGAGTGAGGTCATCTCACGCTTTGCTAGCAGCCGCAGTGTGAATGTTCAATTCCTGAGACATGAAATTGGACTCCTTGTATGCGCAGTGTACAGACAACTCTTGTTCTCTGGTCTGTTGGAGCACATCCTGCGATTTACCTCCCTCACAAAGCTCTAAAAACGGGGCGGTGGGAACCCTCAATATTGGGGTTCAACCTTTTTATATAATGCTAAATGTATTAATAGAGTTGGCTCAAATAATATGGAGCATTATCTTGAAAAGATTTTTTCATAAAATTTCTGTTATTTTTTTTTTGGAATTATTAAAAACTATCTCGTAAATAATCAATTGACACATATTCGTCCATTGTAATCGATATTATGGCCGATTATTGATGAAAAATTTCTGTTTATATTTAATGTTTCTATTATTACTATTCGTCAATAAATTAAATTCAACAATGAAATAATCATCAATAAATTGAATTCATTAAACTACTAACTGAAAAAGTCGTTCATAATTTTAAATTACTTGTCATTTAGCCCTTGTTTGAAACCCATTCTTTGAAAACTCACTTTTACTCAAATTCATTTTCAACCACACATTCTTATAATAAAAAAAATTTACGAGTAACTTTAAAATTTTTTCTTATTTTTAAGTACACATTCTAAAAGAGTCACTATTAAAAAATCCATTCATCGCAAAAATGTGGCTCAAACAAACCCTTAATTGGTGATCAAATTTTACACTATAATATTTCAATAAAGTAAATTTATTATTGATGATAAACTCCATTATGAATCTTAGACTAGTAGCTTTGTAATTTTTGAGTTAACTCCAAGCGAGACCTCTCTTCCTCGTTTAAATATTTGACGGTAGATATAAAATCACTTAATCAATAGAATTAAAGTCTAGGAAAATATTTCCTTCGATGTCTTCGCAGTTAGAAATAGATAAATCTGTAGACGAGGCAAAAACATGACAACTATGTTTTAAATTTCTGTTGATAAATTAATTTGTCGATGAAGCAACATGATCTTCATTTTAAATCTGTTAAAATATGTTTTTCTAGTTATTTGTGACTAAATTATTTGGGATTATAATTTCTAAAATTTAGTGGTATGACCCAAATAAAGGGCCTTAATCAGTTATCTAACTTTGTTGAATCGATTCATATTATTGTCTAATCTAATATATTAAACGTGTATCCATCGTGTAACGATTATTTACTGGAGAGAATTTATGTTAGATGCAGCATGGTACATATATATATTGCATGTCATGATAGGGACAACCACTCTCGAAATGTGGAACCTACTTACCAGAACATCTGTCACTTTGATAAGGACAAGAGATGAGGGAATATGTAAACCCTTTTTTTTTTTAAATTAAATATTCCATCAATAAAAAATGTTGAACTTTTTTTAAAATTAAATATTCTATCAATAAAATAATTTTAAATATGAATTCAAATTTTTCTTTACTTTTTTACTATTATTCTTCAAAAAAATCATTTTTTTATAAAATTTATTTTCAAAAAATCTAAATCAAACTAGTCCTTAATCCTTTTAATTTTCTTTTTATAATTTCGCAGAATGAATGAGTAGACAAAAGAACTATTTCTCAATCGCCAACTATCAACCTTTTATTTCAAGTTTATTGAAAATTATTTGTTGATGTTACTATTGTGGATATTGTTTATATGACTTCATCGGAACTTTATGAAAAATCAAAGTTTTTAGGTTTCGAGAGAATGGTCACAAGGTTATAATTTATATGAATTGATAGAAGGGCATCATTAAGAATGAACTCTGTCGATTAATTTGACTCTACAAAAAGAACCTTTTCAAGTCTAGATATAGTACTGAGAATTCTTACTCTGTTATATGAGTGATGGTGCATGATCGTTCTTAGTTGGTAAAAAGATTTGTTCTCTAGATTCAATACGTAGTAGTTTCAAGTATTAGTTCACGATGGGCGTCGAGATGCCAATTATTCAGAAAATTAGCCAATTGAATTCGGAAATGGAGTGTATGTCCTTTTAATTACCAATAAAATATACAAATTTGAAAAATAACGAGTGCAAGAAATCAAAATTCCCAGAAAAGAAATAGTTACAAATGGTTTTGAGCTTGTGCTAAGTTCAAATTTCCAAGCTTTTGCTCCACAGGTGAAGAATTGTATTTATTGGGCCTAGATGGGCTAAAACTAAAAATTATTGATTTTATTTTACAAAATTTTAAATTTTATCGTGTCGTTTAGTATTTTTCAATATATCATATCAATTTTCATTACTTGATTTATTTACAATCTTTTAAAAGAGCATGCAGAAAATAATTGGATACTCCAAGAACCCCAATTATGATACGAGGGTGTAAGATATTTTTCCGTCTTTAATTAATCTAGCGTGACATATACATACACAAACACTTGTATAATTATAGCTAGTAACTTTTTAAATGACAAAGAAAAGAAAAGGGGCCATGTACAATTGAAGCATACCTTATTACTTTATAGTTTATAGTCTATATTGAGGGGTTACTCAATAGGGGCATTTGGAGTCCAGCATGTTTGGAAAGTACTTATAAAGAGTCTAAATTATAAATAGATAGAAGCAATATCGTGAATAAGTGAGTAATACCCATGAATCTCTTGAAATATATGAATAAAAATGATTTGAGTATGATAAACATGAGCCAAACACATGCATCTCCACATTTTTATACTCAAATATTGAGGGTTTTTGGAGATAAGAAATGTCCCAATTCGGCCAACGGTTTTTAAACCATCATCATCTACATTTCATGACATTTTTACACTCGATATGGAGGTTGAATGAACATTAAACAGTGCTAATTTCAACGAAAAAAGAAGAAGCTTCCCAGGGAACAAGCAACAGAAAACTAGATGCCCGCTTCTTCTTTTTCTTATATTGTGTGATCAATTTTGTCTTTCCTTGACATTCTTGAAATGATTGTAGCAATTATTAATTATTCATGCAAAATTTATAGAGCTAGGTAGAAATAGTCGATGACTCTGTGAAGAGCATAAGATTACATCTATATGATGAATAGTGGAATTTTCTGCTGTAAAATTTCACATTTTTAATGCTGCTTTTTAGGTAGGTTTTCGTTCTGGTTTCACTCTTCTGCATCGCATTTGCATGCACCTTGTGTGCTTGAACCGATAACTAGCTCAAGCTAATCTAGCCTCCTACTACATCCCTCATGACCAACAAAGAGTAGTACATGAATATTCATTTGTTATCCATCGACTATGCCTTTCGGTTTGATCTTCGGTCCTGACGTACCCTCAATAGACAAACTCTCAGTATGGAGGAATCTTATGTATGCATTGATTGAAAATATATATTGGAAGAATAATCCATTCATGAAAGGTGATTTCACTTTAGAATGTCATTTGATTCTCTGCATAATGATCCTTTAACTCGGTTTTTTTAGTACAATTAAATGACTGTAATGATTCTAAGTACATGATTTAGGATTGTGTTCTGTTCTTTATTCATCCTTAGAAATTAATAATGAATTCCAGAATGCCACTACATAGAAATTCTATTATCCACAAGCAATTTATTATTTATAATATATCTAGTGGAGTTCGACTTAACTAAATTTTCAATAATTTTTTTTGTGTTTATAAATAAAATATATAGAAAATTACTCTATAGAAAACTAGTGCTATTTTGGTTGTGAATGACATGATGAAGGAGAAGAATCGAAAAGAAATGTGAAACAATTTTCCAATTACGCCTAGACTGATAAGAGTTAAGGCTTGCTCTACATTCCTTGGCCTTATGTCTTTAGAAAATGGTATTAAAGTTATTTATGTCTTTTATAAGCTTAGGTAAACATGCTCTTAATTATCATTTTAGTACAAAACTCCTATGTAAGTGAGTATACTCGTTTGTTTGTGGGCGAAACTCAATTGCCGTATACTAAAATGAAAAATACTCAACTTTAAAGTTAAGACTAAGAGAGTACGACCTCATTTTTTCACTAAAGGGAAAAAATCAATTGTTAAATTCTTATACTCATAATTATTACTTAAGATGGCTCGGCTTCGTCCATTACGAGGTCCAACCTGTCTTTTTAAATTTTAATTCATGTATTTCCATGTAGGTTGTTTTATATATCAATATTAATCAATCGATAATGATCGCAATAATGGGCTATGCCACTATGGGCTACCGTGATTCCTCTTACTTGGACCGAAAAGTCAAAAGAAACCTCATCCCACACGATCGCCTGCTTTACTCATGTCCAACTTCATTGCAATGTAGCTCAAAATCCCATTTGTCTTCCTCTTTATAGAGCATGGTAACTCAAAAGCCGAGTTAAACATTACTTGAGATGACTCGTCCCGTTACAAAAGCACTCTGGGTTGGTGAAATGATCTTCGGGAAGAAAATTTAATTTTTCATTATATTTGCTAGTGTCAAGGTGTTAGTTTTGCAGAGAGCATTACAAAGACTAATGCGTCAATATTCCTTGATGCTTCTTGGGCTTCTAACCTTAGGAATTAGCACCACTTACTTGTCCTTCACCAAGATTAACTCACAATTTTGTTGAGAAAGCACTGCATGAAAACGATCTGAGCCATGGACTTTAAAAGTGCCCAAACTGTAAAGAGCTTCTCGAACCTCCTCTTGCGAGTAAGGTTCTGACAACGGCCGGAGGTTTTATTGAACAAAAGTGAATAATAAAATTGAAAACAAGAAGAATAAGATCATAAAAAAAATTTAAAGTGGCTCGATAATGTGCTTACCACGCGAATAAATTCACTAGATTTGAATACGTAACCAATTTGGACTAGGAAACAAATTTATAAGATGGAGCCCGACTTCACCCATGGCCCACGATCCATTTATCGCCTCCAAACCTTTAAATGCGGGTCAAACATTTTCTCAACCGCAGTCTAAACCCCAAATTGTTATTCCAGCGTCGGATCCGGGCGCTATTGTTACATCTCTGGCGAACTGAGCTGCAATGAATTGGGTGTTGGGCCATTCGATCAGTTTCACTACCAACTTTAAGGGAAAGGAATTACACTCTTGTTCTTGTACTGAAAAGGTTGAGAGCTAATTAAAATCCTCGTCTTTTCTTCTTCCACAATGGCTTCAAAGCTTCTGTTTACCCGAATTCGAACATTAACCCGACCCTTAAAGTCGTTCACGCACCCGAATTTCGAACTTCGAATGCTTATTCAAACAAGGCAATATTCAGATGCAGCGCTGCCAGCTCCAATCGACCCGGCTCACGCTCCTTCACTTGTCGCTTCTGCCAATTTTAAAAGGGCTTCGCAAAGTTCCTTTAACGAAAGTGAGCTCAAAAAGTTCTCGGCCATTGCGGAGACCTGGTATTTTTCATTTCGTTAAGCAAGACACTGCATTTTGTTTAATTTTTGTCATTGTTTTTACGTTTTCAATGAATTTTAGGTGGGATGCAGAAGGCCCTTTTAAACCGTTACATGTGATGAACCCTTCCAGACTTGCTTTCATTAGGTCCACTCTTTGCCGGTATTTCAGGTAATTTTGACCACGCTTTAGGAATTTAGTACATCATCATAAGAATTTACTACATTATAGGCTTTCTTGATGGAAGATTGAATTTTATTCCATTCTTTGTTAAAAAGTTGTTAGTTTGGTTATACAACAAGGGGGAAAAGGAAAAGAGACTTTGATGGAGTTACCTTTAGTGCTCCTTTTAATTCTTAATAAGAAAAATGTACAAATAACTTGACAGCTTATTTTGGGAAAATTAATGGAATATACCTTGTTAGGTGGTACTGGTATATACTATATGGCAATGCTACACTCACTTGAAGTCCTTCATGTGATTTGAAAATTTTCTGCTCCACAATCATGGAAGTATGCCATTTTCTGACTTGAAGCTTCACTTTCTTTGTGTAGCAATTAGTTGTGCCAGTAGAATTATCATAAGCTAGATGACAATTTGTAAGTGCTAGATGCATTTATTGCCAATTTTGCTAGATGATTTTCTCCTTTGTTTTGCTTTTAATTTATAGAATAGTACATGGTTATATATGGAAATTATACAAGGGAATTAATCACTGATTTTGTGCGCTATGCAAGGTAAATAAACTAATTTGCCTAATTTCCTCTAATACCCCCCCCCCCCATCCCTCAAATTGATGATGGTAAGTCCACGATCATCAATTTGCTCACTAGAAAATTATGATGGAGGCGAGTAAGAGATTTGTTGAAAATATCTGCAATCTGCTGAGTAGTAGAAACATGAGAAAGATCAACGAGTTTAGACTCATAGGCATCCCAAATGTAATGACAGTCAGCTTCAATATGTTTGATGCGTTCATGATACACAGGATTGGTCGCAATCTGAATAGCACTAGTATTGTCACCATGGAGGGGCGTAGGATGTGATTGTGAAACACCATGTTCTGCAAGAATACCACGCAACCGCACAATCTTAGAACAAGTAGCGGACATAGCGCGATATTCAGCTTCAGTAGAGGACTTAGAGACACCGTCCTACTTCTTACATTTCCAAGAGATGAGAGCATTGCCCAGAAAGATACACCACCTAGTAGTAGAACGACGAGAATCAGAACAATCAGCCCAATCAGCATCACAGTAAGCGGTGAGCTCAAGAGGCGTCCCACGAGGAAAGAATAGACCACGATGAGGAGTCCCAATAAGATAACGAACAATGCGACGAACAGCGACCAAGTGATGATGACGAGGGGTGTCCATAAATTTGCTAACAGTATGAACTGCGAATGAAATATCGGGACGTGTGATAGTGAGATAAATGAGACTACCTACCATCTTTCGATACAGAGTAGGGTCTGGAATAAGATCCCCTTTGTCTTTTCGATACTTAACATTAAGTTCCAATGGAGTATCAACTAAGGAGGCATCAGATAAATCAGCTAACTTGATCAAGTCCTGAGTATACTTATGTTGATTAAAAAAGATACCATGCTTTGCAGTATGAACTTCTGAGCCAAGAAAATAAGTTAGATGACCAAGATCCTTCATATGAAAAACTGAGTGAAGATGCTGTTGAAGTTTTTGAATGTGAGTATAATCAGATCCAGAGATAATAATATCATCCACATAAACCAACAACAAGACGATGCCAGCAGGTCTTTTGTGCAAGAATAGAGAAGCATCATACTGACTCTGAATGAAGGAGAAATCTAGAAGAGTGCGGCCGAACTTGTCAAACCATGCTCGAGGAGCTTGCTTAAAACCATACAGAGAGCGTTTGAGTTTACATACAGAGTCAGCTGAAGGGAGCGGCATACCAGATGGAAGTTTCATATAAATATCCTCTTGAAGATCCCCATGTAAAAATGCATTCTTTACATTCATTTGATATAAAGGCCAAGACTGAGAAGCAGCAAGTGATAATAAGAGGCGAACGGTGGTCATTTTAGCCACGGGAGCAAAAGTCTCATCATAGTCAATCCCATGCTCCTGACGATTACCTAAGGCAACTAACCGAGCTTTATAGCGCTCAAAAGAACCATCGGAACGAAGTTCCATGGAGTATACCCATTTACTCCCAATGGGTTTCACAGTCTTTGGACATGGCACTATATCCCAAGTTTGATTTGCCTCAAGGGCCTCAAGTTCTGCATTCATTGCCTGTTGCCAACACTCTTGTTCCATAGCCTGTATATATAAGGAAGGAATGACAATTGAGTTAAGAGTAGCAGACATAGAGCTATGGGAGGGTAAACCATACCTATCCGGTGGACGAGTAACACGAGAAGAGCGACGAAGAATGATAGGAGGCGATAGATCATCTGATGAAGGATCTAATGTCGTAGTTGGAGGATCAAGGAGGCTTGGAGGGACAGACGTCTGACCAGAGGGACCGGGATCAGTGATCATAGCGGCATGTCTACGAGTATAAACAAGACCAGGCTTGTATCGAGAGAATTCTTTATGAAACTCAGGCAAGATAGAGAACATAGGAGTAGGGACAATAGTTTCGGAGAGGAAGAAAGATTGATTTTCAAAAAAAACGACATTGCGAGAAATTCTAATACGGTGTGTCTTTGGATCATAGCAAACATATCCTTTTTTTGTCCCACCATATCCTAAAAAGGCACACTTAATAGATTGTGGTGTGAGTTTTGTTCTTTCATGTGGTTTTAAATGAACAAAACACACATCCAAAAGGTCGTAGATGAGAATATGTAGGATGTTGACCAAAGAGCTTATAAAACAGGGAGACATTATTGAGAGTGGGAGAGGGTAACTGATTTATAAAATGTACAGCAGTAGACAAAGCTTCACACGAAAAACGAGAAGGAATGGAAGACTTAATCAAAAGAGTTCGAACCATGTCAAGAAGGTGACGGTTCTTGCGTTCTGCTACCCCATTTTGTTGAGGGGTAGAGGGGCAAGATCATTGAGAAATGATACCTTTTGTCTATAAGAATAGTTGAAACTCGTTAGACATGTATTCACCTCCCGAATTAGATCTTAAGACTTTGATCGAGGAGGAAAATTGCAGAGCAAGAAAAGCCTGAAAGGCAGAGAAAACCTCACTTTTTGCTCGGAAAAAATAAACCCATGTAAAGTGACTATAGTCATCGATAAACGTAACAAAGTATTTATAATGAGCATGAGACACTGCAGGCGTAAGACTCCATACATCACTATGAACAATATCAAAAATATGCGAAGCATGAGAACCATGAGACGGGAATGGTAGTCTTACTTTTAACAAGCTTACATGAAGCACAATCAATAGAAATAGACGAAACCGTAGCAGAATTTTTATTACCAAGCAAACCAGAATTTAACAAATATTGTAACACATTAGAGTTGGGATGACCTAATTTTTTATGCCAATTAACAACATTAAAAGTAGCAGAATTACAAACTAAAGGAAAAGATTAAATTGGCTTCGGTGAAATGGGAAAGAGACGTTCCTCTTTAAGCCCCCTCGTGATCGTCCTCCCGGATACTTGATCCTGCACATGACAACCAGAAGAAGAAAAAGACACAGTATAATTGTTATCAACAAGTTGACCAACAGATATAAGATTAGTTGATAAATTAGGAGAGACTAAAACATTTGACAAGTTTGAGAATATATCTCTTATGGTTGAGATAGGAAGCGTGGTACCATCGGCAGTGTGTAGATTGAGATTTCCAGCATATGGTATAAGATTACTAAGCAACCGAGGATTAGAAGTCATATGATTAGAGCACCCGAGTCCAATAACCAAGAAGAGGGGAGAACTGAAGAATTACCTGAGACACCCAAGGCAAACAGTGCAGAAATAACCATTTGTTGGATAGATGGAGTTTTTGACAGGGCTGGGAGAGGCTGGAACTTGAGCATGGGCAGGTGGCAGTGCAGAACTGGAGACGAACGAGGCAACAGCAACATAATTTTCCCCAGTCTTGCGTGGAGGATAAATCGGACATTCTTTAATGACATGTCCACGTTTCTTGCAGTAATTGCAAACCTTTCGGGGATATTGAAGAGCCATGTGATCAAACGCTTTACAATTGTAATACTGCACACTATACATATTCCGATGCTTGACTTTTTCTTGAGTCACATAAGCAACAGAAACTAGTGTTACTTGATTATGTCGTTGTTCTACAGATGTACGAGTGATAAGACGATGCTCCTCTCTTAGCAATTCACCCAAATAGCCATCCAACGTTGGAATAGATTCACAATTCATAAGGCTGGACCTGATGGGTTCAAATTCAGCTTGTAATTTGATGAGAAATTGATCACTCTTAGTGACTTCATGTACAACCTGGACAACTTCCAAATCGTCAGATGAAACGGATGCATAGATAATATCTGTGTATTCAGTCCAAAGATTAGAAAATTCAGAGTAATATTCTTCAATGGAGCGCGAATCTTGAGAGAAATTTGCCAGTTCAAGTTCCAATTGAGGTTTTCGAGCATTGTTGTTTTGAGTGTAGATTTTCTTCAAATAGTCCCACATAGCACGGGTTGACTTGTAAGGCCTGAGATTAAGAACAATTTGAGCATCAACTGATCCGATTATCCACACCATAATTCGAGAATCTTTCGTTTTCCAGGCAAGGTATTTCTACCTGTCTTTCTCTTGATCTGGAGGTGGGAGACTCCCATCAATATGTCACCAAAAATCACCTTTACCCTCAACCAATAACTGAAAATTGAAAGCCCATGAAGAATAGTTCTTTCCAGTAAAACGAATGTAGACAGAATCACCATTTTCAAATGACACGATGAATTTCGGTCAAAATTAATCAAGCCAAACCCATAGCTCAAGCCCAAATAAAATCAGATTCAACCAGTAAATTGATTCCAAATAACCCAAGCCTAAAAAAATAACAATGATCCACTTAAATTAGGCCCAGTAACAAAGAAAGAAGATAGGTGACCAGATCAACTCACGTAAATCCCAACTCGCCCATGAGCTCGACGACGCTGGAAGAGAGACTGGTGATTACTGACGGTGCCGGAACAACCTTCGATGACAAGAACCGGCCTGGAAAACGTTGAAAGAACGATAGACCCCACTCGCCCACAATCTGCAACAGTACTAGCGCGACTACAGACACGCAATGAACAATAACCCAACACGCGACTTCAACTTTGATGAACAATGGTCCGACTGCCCCCACCTAGACACGCCGACCACTGTGATTCAGTCGCCAAATACAATCTACTAGGAATTGCCGCAAACACTAAGCCCCCGTTTGGCCCCCATTAAAGTAAATTACATTACATTTTATTTTTCTCTCATATTTTCAACCACACAATCTTCCATAAAATAATATTACATGTAAATTGAAAATTTTTACTTTTTTTTTTTCAACCACTCATTTAAAAAAAAAAAAAACTATTCCACCCATTTTTACTTCAAAAAATGGGGGCCAAACAGGAGCTAAGTCAACCACAGGTACGAGAAAAGAATTTTAGGGCTCTGATACCATGCCAATTTTGCTCGATGATTTTCTCCTTTGTATTGCTTTTAATTTATAAAATAGTACATGGTTATATATGGAAATTATACAAGGGAATTAATCCCTGATTTTGTGCGCTATACAAGGTAAATTAAATAATTTGCCTAATTTCCTCTAATATTCATATCCACATTGATATGGTAAACAATTTATATTTCCATTAGTCTATTTGCCTTCGTAATTTGAGTTACAATAATCTTCCTTTAGATTGGAGCTGCTACTGTAATGATGAGAATTTGTTTTAAAAATATGTTTCTTATTAGCACAATGAAGAGGTTTATAATGTTGAAGTACATTGTTTCTCCATGTAAATGGTGAAATAACTAATTTTAGTTTGTTTTAGTACTAGTTGGCTGATTTTTTGATCGTTAAAAAGAATTATCCCCATCGTAAAAGCACTGATCACTAGCACTTGGGGCATCCCCCATATACAAATAACATCATGACAAAGTCAAGCTACAAAATTTGTAACAAACTCTCAAAAAACACATACTACTATCTTGTCTATATCTCACAAGCAAGCACAAGTACAGTGTTTGTATCTGATGTTCCTTTATATTTTTGTACTGACTATAGATATAGCCCCTATTTGGGCCCATTCTTTGAAAAAAAAATTATTTTTAAATATTGATTTGACATAATTTCAACCACATATTTTTCAATACAATAATATTACACGCAAATCCAAAATTTTTTCTTATTTTTTAACCACACATTTTTCATCAATACGCTATTCAAAAATTCATTCTTATGAAAAGAATGGAGCTCAAACAAGGGCATAATATCAGCATAGTGGGGCTAGACTGCATAGGTTGGTCTATTTTCTAATAGAAAAAAACTGACATCATTCAATCTTTATTGGGAACTGGTGAAACTGAGAACAGGGCATTTTTCTCCTGTTTTATTTTTTCTTGATACTTTTTTGGCTTTTCAAATTTATGTGAACTTTTTATTTGTAGGTGAATCTAATTACATAGCACCCGCCTCGACCTAAGTAATCTGTTGGAAGTTGATAATCATGTGCATGTTTCAGAAAGGATCCAAACTGTGCAAGACCATTTGAAGGACTGAAATTTTTGGATGTTGGTTGTGGAGGGGGTATATTATCTGAGGTTTGCATTTTTTAATTTTTTGATGATTCATCAAATAGACATTATTCATTATATAAATCTGTCATGAAATATCTTACTCTCTGGAAAGTCAAATCAGAATTTTTGATCACTTATCTTAACAACAAAAAACCCTTATTCTTAATAATTATGAAGTCAACTACACGAATCCTTTTTCTCCGCTTTGTTTTTGGTTCATTGCTACCTATTGGAGTATCTTAAACAACTGTATTCTTAGCAAACAGAGAAGCTCACATTTGTTTTAGTCTATACCTCCTCTTGATTATTTGTTCTACTCAGATTGCGACATTGTCGAGTCTCTTTAGATATACCATTCACTCGTGTTAAATTGGAACCATAATGCGATCTTATCAATTTGGCAGGCAGATACACTTGTATACTAAAGTTTAACTTGACTAGTTTTCTAATTAAGTTTTTCATTTATGTTTCAGCCTTTAGCTTGTATGGGAGCCAGTGTAATGGGAATCGATGCTGTGGAAAAGAATATCAAGATCACGCAACTTCATGCTGTATGTTTTATTATAGAACAATAGTAAATGAACATCTTATATTTTACTTACGAATGTATGTACAAACATGCGCCAAAATGCATACTATTTTTCTTTGTTTGCTAGTGTGCAGGGAAGGTATGATATCCAACTATCCTTAGTTTTCTGTTGGTTTCTGTTTCCCTGATTTCCTCCAATGCAATCCTTCACCATCATTCACTTTTGGACAACTTAAATGATTGACCTATCTGGATTCCATGGTGTTGGATGATCACATTCATTGAAGAGTCAAACCCATATCAATGTATCTGTACATTCAGCAATACATCTAAACTGCAAAATACTTGACTCAAATCTGATGAAAATTTTGTATTTTTATTACTTTATCGTTTAAGAGCATGAATGGCAAAGCTTTGGTTAGATATACTTTTTATCCACACATTTCGCAAGACCCACAACTTATGAGTACCACCAAACAAGCAGTATGTTGTTTCAGAATTGTCACTTATGCTTGCTTTCCTATCTGTCGTATTAAAATGTTTCTGAGATTCTGTTTTTAGTCATACTCATTTTCTTACCTTTTTCTTGGTTATTCTTACCATTGTCAGTATCCTTTTGCACTGAAATGTCCGTGCACTCAAAGAAGCAGTCCTGCCAAATGATGCAAAAGATGCCCTTCTTACAAGACTTCATATTCTTAAAATTTTCTTGTATTACTAGTATTATCATTTGGATTGTATTTTGGGATTCAGTATGAATATTGATGGGCTTTTATATCTTCCCCAAGATTTGGATCCTATAACTTCATCCATAGACTATCGTTGCACAACTGCTGATACACATTAAAAAATATTTGATTAATTGTTAATTGCTTTCACATATTCAAATAAATCTTGTATACACTTATACATCCTGTTACTTGTGTCTTTATGTTAGGCTGTCACCCATTTGTTGGGAACAAGTGTATTTTTCAGATGATCTTTATACTTTAATTATTAAATGTTATTGTTCATGTTTTACCATTTGAATTCTTTTTTCTGATGTTCCCTAGTGCCCGAGTGTTTCTTGTAGTCTGTTTTATTTTTTGAGTAGCGGGTGGAATAATTGCTGATCATTCTTTAGGTGTGTGCAAGTGCGTTTTAGCTTTCAACTTTTCACGTACTATTGCCTCGTCAATTCTGATTGCTATTGCTGACATTTATGTGGCAGACTGGCAGTAATTATATCGTCGTCTTCATTTTTTTAAAATTTTTACTAGCTTGAAGCCTTGAACTTCAAAAGTCATTCTTCAGAGCTGATACATATTGCAATTGTATAAACAAAAAAGCTAGTGGAAGAGCGAAGACAATTTGACGCATTAATTGCATTAGAGGTACGTAAATGCGTTGATTGCTGTAAGTTAAATTCACTTATAGCAGACGCAAGAAGGCACTAGAGGGAATCAAGCATATGACAGCAGGGCCTTAGTAATTTACAGAATTTTGTTTAGGGTTGTTAGCTATTTTGTTAAAGTTAGTTACGGGGAAAGGATATAAATAAATGAGTTTGTTGGGGGGGGGGGAACTGGGTAGAAAATATATTCTGAGAAAATGGTGGTCATCAGTGTAGTGCAGTTTCTTGTTTTCCGTATTGCTTCTAGTTATAAAAGTCATAAGTTCTTTCATCTGTTCCTATCACATTGGTATCAGAGCAACAGATCCATCCTATAATCATGACTCTCAACGATCGAGTGGGAGCACTAGAGCAGCAGGTAGCAGACAACCACGCTTCCTTGCAGTTGAGTATGGAAGCTATGAAGGTGGAATTAATGGAAAAGTTCGACGTATTGTTGCGAACTTGGGAGGTGCAAGAGAGAAACAGGAAAGAGAAAGGAAAGGCCACTTCAAAATCACCAGAACCATCACCGGGGTTAGGGAGAGATCAAATCAGGTACTGGAGGAAGTGGAAATAGTGGTGGTAGCTTCGACAATGGGTGGAGGTCCAAGTCGTGAGTTAGGCGGCTGGACATGCCGGTTTTTTATGGGGACGATCCCGATGGGTGGATTTTTTGGGTGGAGTGCTATTTCAGCGTTAACTGAATGACAGAAGAGGAGAAATGGGAAGCGGCGGCAGTGTGTTTGGAGGGAGATGCTCTGGCGTGGTACCAGTGGGCGGAGCGCCGCAAACCCATGAAAAATTGGGAGGAATCGAAGATGTATTTGCTGCACAGATTCCGGCCACCCCAAGAGAAGTCACTAGGTGCCCTATTTTTAGCTATCCAACAGACAACCAACGTCTATGTTGTGCATGTGACTCATATAGAGTGGAACACAGGTTCTGGATCAAATGGGCAGATGCCGGCGTGGAGCAGAGTGGAGTGAGAGGAGCGGAGCGCATTGAACGGAACGGAGCGGGGATATTTTCTGTACGGACCTTAAAGTCTTATATGGGCTCAGGCTAGGGTTAGTATAAATAATATGTTGTAACCCTATTTTTCATAACTGAATAAAGAAATCTCCACTTCGCTCTCGTGGACGTAGGCACACCGCCGAACCACGTAAAATTCTTGTGTTGATTTTCGTTTTCATCTCTTTAATATTGCGCATAAAATCCAACAACTGGTATCGAAGCCAGGTTCGGATGGCGAGTTCTTCGATTGCAAATTTTGATGTGATGAAGTTTGACGGATCTGGGAACTTCGGATTATGGCAACGAAGGGTGAAGGATTTGTTGGCACAGCAAGGGATGGTGAAGGCATTATCTGGGAAGAAACCAGAGGGTATGTCAGATGCCAATTGGGAAGAGCTTGAGGCACGAGCAGTTAGCGCAATTCGGCTTTGTTTGGCGGACGAAATCATGTATCACGTCATGGAAGTTGAGTCTCCGGCGGAGGTGTGGGAGAAATTGGAGAGTCATTATATGTCAAAGTCTCTCACGAACAAGCTGCATCTAAAGCAGCGACTGTACGGGCTGAAGATGTTGGAGGGTACGGATCTGATTCAACACACTAATGTGTTTAATCAAATCATCAGCGATCTATTGCGACTTGAAATCAAGTTTGATGATGAATACAAGGTAATGATTTTGTTGTGCTCACTTCCTCCTTCGTACGACCACTTGGTGACCACGTTGACGTGGGGTAAAGAGACTCGAGAATTGGAGGAAGTCACATCAGCCCTGTTAACCTACAATTAGCGGAAACTGCGTACTGGTGAAATTTCACAGGGTGAAGGGTTGATCGTAAAGGGCTACCTGGATTGTGGGAGAAGGAAGGACAGGGGTGTTTCTTTTAGAGGGAACACAAGATCAAAATCTAGGAATCAAAATAAGAAAAACGTCAAGTGCTACAAATGCCATCAAATGGGCCACTTTAAGAGAGACTGTCCCAATAAGAAGCAGAGTGATGAAAGGAAAGGTGATGGGTCCTCAAACTCAGCTAGTGTTGCAGAAGGAGCTCGGATTCTGGAGATGAAGACATGTTATCAGTGTCTGCAGGTAATTCTGTAAAATTAAATGACTGTTGGGTACTTGATTCAGTCTGTTCATATCACATGTGTCCTCATCGGGATTGGTTTCATTCATATCATTCTGGTAATTTTGAATATGTTATGATGGGTAATGATGCATCATGTAAGGTCATTGGAATGGGGTCCATAAAATTTAAAATGTTCGATGGTGTGATAAGGACCTTGGAAAATGTTAGGCATGTACCTGAGTTAAACAGAATCTAATTTTTTTAGGCACTTTAGACACAAATGGTTACTCTTATAAGTCAGAGTGTGGGGCTCTAACAGTGAAGAAATGGGTTATGATTGTGATGAAGGGTCAGAAATTAGTAGGAAATATCTACAAACTACTCGAGGATACAGTTGTAGGTGGAGTTGTTACAGCAGAATCTGAGTCAGATGACACTCTTGTATAGCATATGCGATTGGAGCATGTAGGAGAACGTGACATGGTTGAGCTTCACAAGAGGAATTTGTTGAAGGGGGTAAAATCATGCAAGCTAAATTTATGCAAGTTCTGTGTACTTGGAAAACAGTCCAGAGTACAATTCAAGATGGAAAAGCACAAGACAGAGGGAATTCTTGATTACGTGTACTCAGATGTTTGGGGACCAGTGAGAGAGTTGTCCAAAGGTGGATCTCAATATTTTATTACTTTCATTGATGACTTCTCTAGAAAAGTTTGGGTATATTTCATGAAGCACAAGTCTGAAGCCTTTGTCAAGTTCAAATTTTGAAAAGCAGAAGTAGAGAACCAGATGGGCAGAAAAATTAAGTATCTGAGGACAGATAACGGTACAGAGTATACAGATTCACAGTTTCTGAGATTTTGTGAGGAGCATGGTATTCAACGGCACTATACAGTTCGCAAGACATCGTAACAGAATGATGTTGCGGAAAGGATGAACAGAACAATTGCAGAACGGGCAAAATGTTTAAGGCTGAATGCAGGGCTCTCGAAGAGATTTTGGGCAGAAGCAGTGAACATGGCATGTTATGTTATAAACAGATCACCACGAACAGCACTAGATGGTAAAGTTGTAGAGAAAGTTTGGACAGGTAATGAAGTTGATTATTCTGAATTGAGAGTATTTGATTGTCCGGCATACGTGCATGTATCTAGTGATCAGTGATCTAAATTTGATCCGACATTAAGAAAATGCATTTTTTTGGGCTATGTTAAAAGTGTAAAGGGATACAAGTTTTAGGATCCAGAGGCAAGGAAGATGGTGATAAGTAGGGATGCAGTATTTGATGAAGCATTCATGCTTAAAGCTTCCATAGATAAAGAGAAGCTCAATTTAGACGAGGGCAGAGGTAAGAGCTAAGTGGTGCAAGTAGAACTAGACAGTGTAAACACAAAAATTAATGCTCAGGGAGCAGATAGTTGAGCCAAGTGGTGCAAGTAGAACTAGACAATGTAAACACAAAAATTAATGTTCAGGGAGCAGATAGTTTTGAGTCAGAGGTGGAGCAGTATCATAGTGTTGCCTTAGATAGACCACGTCGCACGACCAAGCCACGAGCAAAGTATGGATTCGAGGATTCGGTTTCTTATGCACTCATTACCAGCAATAGCGATCCTATAACTTTTCAGGATGCCATTGGTAGTCAGGAGAAAGGTAAATGGATAGAGGTTATGACGGAGGAAACTGAGCCACTGCATAAAAATGATACTTGGGATTTGGTGGAGCTTCCAAAGGGAAAGAAACAGATAGGGTGTAAGTGGGTGTATAGAAAGAAAGAAGCAATGTCAGAAAAGGAAGGAGAAAGATACAAGGCTCGATTGGTAGCAAAGGGATACTCACAGAGGAAGGAAGTAGATTATGATGAAATTTTCTCTCCGGTCGTCAGACACACTTCCATTAGGATTGTTTTGGCAATGGTGGCTAATTTTGATTTGGAGTTAGAGCAGCTAGATGTGAAGACTGCTTTCCTTCATGGTGATTTGGAGGAACAGATTTTCATGGAGCAGCCAGAAGGGTTTTTGGAACCAGGAACAGAGAATCTTGTGTGT